GCTCTCGGAAGGCCTGTTAGAGGCAGGTGGGGCTTCTCATTGCACATCCGTCTTTACACTTCTCTCTTGCAGTTTTAGCACGAAACTCTCTCCACCGAACTTCAAATGATTTCTTCAGACCCATTCAGTTCAGTAACTTCATCATATATATATTTTTTCTTTTTTCTTTCTTTCTTTCTTTTTTTTTTTTTTTTTTTGAGATAAGTATCACTCTGTCACCCAGGCTGGAGTGCAGTGGTGCGATCTTGGCTCACCCAAAACCTCTGCCTCCCGGGTTCAAGAAATTCTCCTGCCTCAGCCTTCCAAGTAGTTGAGATTACAGGTGCCCACCACCACACCCTGCTAATTTTTTTGTATTTTTAGTAGAGACAGGGTTTCACCATGTTGGCCAGGCTGGTGTTGAACTCTTGACTTCATGTTATCCATCTACCTTGGCCTCCCAAAGTGCTGAGACTACAGGCATGAGCCACTGCACCAGCTCATCCTATATTTAATATGCTGCTTCATCAGTATGTTGAGTTTCAATTTTTAATTAATACATTTTTTCCTTGCTGTAAGTGCTGCTTGGTTCTATTTCACATATAACTAGTCTTTTTTGACAGTGTCTCAATATTTGCAATGTGTTTTATTCTTTTATGTCTTCAATGATTTAAGTAAACATATTTTACTATTTTATTTGTAGTTCTAATATCTGCAGTTCTTCAGGGTCTAACTTACTGTGTGGGATTGGCTGACTCACTCGCTGTGGTTTCACTCTTGATTTATTCTGTGGGGTCCTGAGCTTTTTTGTGGCGTGGCTTTTTTTTACTGTAGGAAGCCTCTGCTGCCTACGTGAGGTTGTGTTCTGCAGAGATATTATGTTTGATTCTGTTAAATGCCTGTGGATCTCCACAAGTCAGGGATCATTTTTGTTGAGGTTTTCGTTTGCACATTCCAGGAGCAGTCAGGTAGGAACACTGTAACCCTCAGGACAGCTGCAGTGACAATCCTCAGGGCGGAGTGCGCTACTGATTCTACACGCACAGTGCTGCTCTCCCGTTCCTCACTGCCACTGCTGTGGCTTTTTGTTAGTTTCTTGGGAGGAGGAGGCACCTTAGCAAAAAAATCTTTGCGAAACAAGATTTGAAATAATTTTATTTTAAGCAAAGCATTTTCCTGGTTTTCTTGCTCTGTTGTTGCTGTGTCACGTGGCGCCTGCCAGTTAGAGCTAAACAGTTTTGCTGTTTCTATGCAGAAAAATGCTCACATCACAAGTCAGTGTCTAGGCGTCACAGGAGGTGACTCTGGTAATGTGTATTTTCATTGCTCATTTCCACTCTTAAAGGTCCAATTCTCCTGAATTTTTCACATTTTCCTAGGGTGCCATCCTGTATGTAAAATCCAAAATTGATTATTTCTTCTCAAAGGCAGTGTTACCATAATTCACACAGTATAGATATATTATTTCAAAGGTATTTAAATCTATTCAACATTGTTCATTTAGCTTCTGTTAGAGTCATAAAAATATCTTGGCATGTCTGATTAATTCAGCTGAGTTCAGTGTTTAAACAGCATGCTGTTCTACAATGTGCTATTTATTGTTAAAGCTGAGAATTCATAGTGTTTTCAATAACTGAGAGGGATGGGGTATTTTACTAACATATCTATGATAATTAAGACTGTGAGCTGATATTATGAGATCTATGAATATAGAAGTGATAGGAAGTGAAAATGGATTTAATATAGTTCTAGCATCATTTTGTCTAAAAGCCAATGTTCCGTGAACACACTGTTGTTCTTTTCCCTCTGCAATCCTGAAGCAAGCACTGCTAGAAATGTGATTTTCTACAGAATTGACAGGCCGCTCCCTCTCAGACCCCAACCCTTCTTTCTTCCTTCTCTTTCCTCCTGGCCCCTTACCTTTCCTGTTTCCATTCCTGCTTTCAGACTCGTTCCTTCTTTGCTTAAAAGGCAAGATTTTCCTGGCCCTGTTGCACCCTAGACTCAAACAGTTTGCTGAAGAGAACAGTTTCCTGTCTGTCATCACACTATGTTTTCTAGAAGATTCTATCCTGATGAAGCACCCCTAGACTGGTTGAAAACCAAAGTTACTCCCCCTTGGAAGAATCTTTGTGGACATCCAGGTTGGCATTCAAATTTCCAAGTTGTGTCTGGGTGCAGCGGCTCATGCCTATAATTCCAGCACATTGGGAGGCCACGGCAGGTGGGTCACCTGAGGCCAGGAGTTTGAGACCAGCCTGGCCAACATGGTGAGACCCTGTCTCAACTAAAATTGCAAAAATTAGCTGGACATGGTGGCAGAGGCCTGTAATCTCAGCTACTTGGGAGGCTGAGGCAGAAGAATTGCTTGAACCGAGGAGGCAGAGGTTGCAGTGAGCTGAGATCATCCCACTGCACTCCAGCCTGGATGACACAGGGAGACTACATCTCAAATAAAAAGAAAAAAAGGCAAAAAAATTACCAACTTATGCCAGCCAAGAGGTCTCCAGCCTCAATGCTGTCACCTTCAGGCCTCTGGGAGTTACAACCTCCGCTCCAGTTCCCCTCTGCACCTGAGCTATTCCTCTGAGCCCCATTGGCTCCCACCCTTATGGGTGGTTGGAGGCTGAGTGAACCAGTGAATGGATGAGACAGCTGTGATGTCTCATTCTTTCACTGGATTTTTCTCTCCATCACCGTTCAGGCTCACCAGGTGATGGAGAGAAAAATCCTCTGTGGGTCTGAAAAACATGCCTGAGTCCTAATGAGTGAGTCTTGCGTTCATTTCTACCCCTTCACGGTGACCCCAGGGCCAGGAAGAGGCCACCGCCTGGGCTCAGAGCTCCAGCTCTCCTCAGGGTGGGCCTGGCATTTGCTGAGTTCAGGGAGGGTGGCAGGGCTCACAGCTGCAATGGGAGACCTGTCCTGGGTCCTTTGCATATGCAAGGACAGGGTTCACTGTAGAATCTTCTCATTTCATCTGTGTTCATAGCATTTGTCATTTCCCGCATGTGGTCATCCATGTCCAGAAAGCTGAAGAACCTCACACAAGAATATGCAGCCACAATGTCAGCTGATGTCCATGTCTGAATGCATGATCTCTAGATCACACCCATGACAGTCATCTTCGGGCCACTCCTATCCCCATCCTGGGCTGGCCTGAGTCTGGTGGCCAGATGCCTGCAGCAGGGGTGAGGCAGAGGGCCCAGGTGTGCACAGAGGCCCCTCCTCCTGTCACCTGGCTGTCCTCCAGGCTCTCCTGCCAGCCTTCTGCCTTCCTCCTGCTCCCCCAGTCACTGGCCCAGGTCACCCTGCCTCAGGGATGGGGCTGCCAGGGCCTTCCCAGTGGCCTCTTCCCAGGACTAACCCGGCTCCTGTCCCCAGCCCTGTGCATGGGAAGTTCTTCCCACACACAGATCCCTGGACCTACCAAGCTCTGCCCCTCCCAAGTCTGAGAACTGCCCACCCCTGTGTGTCTGCTGTCCTCCACACCACCCTCCACATGGCCCTCCTGCACAGAGGCTCTAGTGCATCAGGCCAGCACCTTCCAGGCTCTTGTGTCCCTGCTGAGTCACAGAGATGGCTGCCATCCCATGCCCCTGTCCTAAAGCAAAGACAGGCCTCCTCCCCTTTCCCACAGCCTCAGGAGCTTGGAGATTGATGGTCACCAGGTGCAGGGCCTCCCCACATGGAGACTGTGTGGAGTGGGAGATCTGTGCCGATTTTTCTCATTCAATGGGGAACAGGCTGAGTGGCTGAGGGCAGAGTGGGATTCAGAGGCTCTGCCCAGTCCTCACCCCAGGCTAAGCTCTCCCTTGCAGCCAGGGGCCACTGGCCACCCCCACCAAGTCCCTCTGGCTTCTGTCCACAGTTGTGGATGATTCCATGGTGACCGAGACAAGGATGCACTCGGGTTTCCCCTTAGAGGATGGCTGCAGTGACCATCCAGGGACTGAGCAGAGGGGCGGGTGCAGCCATGGGCTTAGGTGTGGTTGGCCACAGAAGAGTGTGTGTTGGAACTAGATGCTCAGTGACGCAAAGAAAAGATCTTTCAGCAACGTAATTTTTACTTCCTGGACTACAGGAAGGTACTCTCACTAGCCATCTTGCCACGAGAGTACAATGAATAAAGGAAAACACATACATGTATCCCTTAGGCATTTGGGGTCGTCCTTACTGCTGCATCTGACTGATCTCTGTTGGCTGGAGCCAGACCTCACAATCTAAACTAAAACCCGATTAGCTAACAACTTAAAACTTTTCTAAACAGGTAAAAGCAATGGAGAGCTGGGACATGTCTGTGAGCATGTCCAGCACAGATATTTTGGTTAAAGTACAGGGACATAGAATGTCCTACTGCCTGTAAGCATGGCATGTCTAACAGCCACATAGCATAGGGCTTAACAAAGTTATAAGCACATGCTTTTAGCAGAGGGGCAAAGAAAGCCCGCTCTGGACCAGGGAAGTGCCTGCGACCTGGGCAAGAAGGGTGGGAACTCCCGCCAAGAGAGGCCGGTGTCTCTGGCACCGGTGGTGACCGGAACACACAACGGCCACTGAACATTCCTGTGCAAGTTTCTTCACCTTCCTGTGCATCGGTACACTGGGGAAATAATAAATGCTGTGTGGTAAATTAAATGAGGCGATCAGAGAAGGAACAGTGTGGCCGGGCGCGGTGGCTCACGCCTGTAATCCCAGCATTTTGGGAGGCCGAGGCGGGCAGATCACGAGGTCAAGAGATCGAGACCATCCTGGCCAACATGGTGAAACACCGTCTCTACGAAAAATACAAAAAAATTAGCCGGGCCTGTAGTCCCAGCTACTCAGGAGGCTGAGGCAGGAGAATTGCTTGAACCCGGGAGGTGAAGGTTGCAGTGAGCCAAGGTCGGGCCACTGCACTCCAGCCTGGCGCCTGGCGACGGAGTGAGACTCTGTCTTTAAAAAAAAAAAAAAAAAAAAAAAGTGTCCTGGCCCTTCAGAAGTTTGCGCAAGCGCAGCCAGGCCGCGGGGGCGGTGTTTCGACTCTGGCCGCCACTATGCAGCGCAGCAAATCAGCGCTCCGTGTCATAAAAAGGGCGGGTCCCCACCTACATATATACTCATCTTGTGCGTGGGAGGACCCAGACTCACCGCTGCTCTTCGCGTTGACCACGACTCTCCTCCGCTGCTTTCCAGGACCCCAATGGCAGCCGCCGCCAGCCCCGCGTTCCTTCTGTGCCTCTCGCTTTTGCTCCTGCTGTCCGACTGGTCAAGGACGCGGCGCGCCGGTGAGTTCGGAGGGGGAACCCAATCCTGGGGGGCTGTGCACTGCAGCGAGTTTCAGAAGAGGGGAGACCGGCGCGATCTCCTCGGACTGCGCCCCGCCCTCAGCTCCATTCCGCGGCTCCTTTCCTCCGGGTCCGCTGCCTACGGCTGCCGCGTACCTCCCCCCAACACCCCCAGGAGGATTGTCAAAGAAGTCCGAAAAACAGCCTCAGGAGGGTGGAGGGCTCAGAGGGCTGCAGAGGCCGAGGTGGGACATGGATTCCTGGCGCAGCCCCACAGCACCACTCGCTGTCGGGAAGGAGAAACGAGAGCCCCTGGAAATCGAGCTGGGATCAGGACGGGGTGAACGAGGGTCCACAGGGACATGATGGCAGACACTCCCATCAGCGACAGGCCTGCTCTGCACTAACCCGGGCTCCACCACACAAACCCTCCAGGACCCCCAGGGCGCCCTGCCCTGGAACTTGCCCTGGTGCTTTCCTGCAGCCACTCACCTGCACCCAGGGGCTCAGCAGACACTTCCCACCCGTCCCTCACCATCCACTGCCACCTCCCAGATCACATCCTCTCCCCACCTCAGCCCAGCCCCGTCATTCCACAGGCCTCCCTCATCACCCCATCCATGAAGGGGCCCTTAGCACCTCCCGACCAACTGGCACCTTCTCCCCCCTTGCCTGAGGACACCTCAGCAAATGCATCCCACGCTTTCCACAGAACCTAGTACAGCGGGGATGGGAAGCACCATTTCCCCCAGATGACCATGGGAATGCTGGTGAGTAGAGGTGCCCACTTCTGCCCTTAGGGCCCAGACCCACCTGTTCATCCTACTGGGGAGCCGGGGTCATAGAGAGTAGTCACTGTGCAGACAGGAGTCAGCAAACCCTTTCTAGAAAGGAAAGGTGGAAGGCACTGTGGTCCTTGCCGGCCATGGGTTCTCTGTCTCTGTGTCAAGTCCTGTCCCTTTGTAGAGCAACATCGGGCAAAGCAACCTGGAAATAAAAGGGAGAACAGATGTGGACACCGTCCTAGGTTGCTGACCCCAGATGAGGGCACCTGCTGTGTCCTGGCAATTGGTGCCCCATCCTCTAGGGTGTCATCTTTAAGTGGTGTCAGTTGAAGAGTCACAGTGTGTCCTACCCTGCCTGTGGCTTCTGGGTGGTGTGGATATGATGGATGTGAGTGGGGGTCCCATGGTTCAGGGCCTACTCTCCCCTCCTTTGCTGCTGAGTGGCATCAATGATCCACCAGGGCCATCAGCAACTCTCCCTAAAGCCTCAGGTGTGAGCTGGGGGGGAGGGGGTGTAGCCATCTGGTGTCCAGGAATCAGGGCCAACTGCTTGTGCAGCTTCTTGGTTCCCTGTGGCCCTGCTCCTGCCCATCCCAGCAGAACCACTTGCATCTTCTCACAGCCAGGCCTACCTTCGTAATGACCTACAGGGTGAGGAGCACACCCTGTGATGGCAGCTCTGAGGCTGCGAGGTCACTGCACTCCCATAGGAAGGCCCATCTCCACCAGGGCCCAGAGACACACCTGGAGCCACTTCAGTGAGGAGTGGCACTGAAAGCTGTGAGTGGCACAGCCTTGATTCTGAGCACTGGGGGACCCTGTTGTGATTCTGCGGTTGGGAATTGCCATGAAATCCACCTTTTCCAACCACACATGCCTCTGGGATCTTAGGGAGTCCAGGGTCAAATAGCTGTAGTGGCAGGGCCAGCCGCACTCCTCATTCACAGACTGTGTATGGCTGCACCCAGCTACAAGGGCAGGGTTGAGTAGTGACAGGGAGGCCATATGAACAGCACAACCTGTAATAGTTATGGAATTAACGACAAACTCTATCCCCTCCTGGTACAAATCCAGGAAATGTGAAATTACCGTCAAATGGGTCTATGAACGCAGCACATCCTCTAACTGGACCTGACACAGGTGTCCATCCGTTACTTTGCCCCAAATGCACCTCATGAGTAACAGGGGAGCCAACAAATGCTTCAGATCCCTGGGAGGAGGTCGGGTCACACACTGTGTCCACTAGGCATGTCTGGGCATTTGCTGTTTCTTGGTGTACAGTTAGCAGAGTGAATGCCCATCTGGCTCTGTGGGAGGCTGAAGCAGTCACTGCAGTTGCTGTGGGTTGAAGGGGCCCACCAGGGACTCTGGACTCTTCTCCTAGTCATGGAATCTGGGTCTGAGATGTGGCTCAGTTGTCACAGTTGAGCAAAGGAGCTCGGTTATTTCCTGGGGTGACTCCTTTCAGCTCCAGGTCATCCATCCTTGCGTTTTATCTTCGTTTGTTGTAATTATTTAAGTCTAGCAGTAGCCGCGTGGAGTCTCCATCTCTTTTGGATCTTGGACCCCTTTGTTCTATGAGCCATGGGTATAGCTTTGTATGGCTGAGGTCCCAGCTGGCATTGTGACTTCCCTAATCATTTCCATCATGGCGCCCTCCTTCCTCCTGACAGTTGACAGCCTCCACTTGAGATCTGTTATTTCAGGATTTTCCATCCCCATTACTGCTGGGAGCCCATTTCAGGAATAGCATCTCCTACCCCCAACCCCAGCCTTTAGCAACAGGCACCCCTGAGCTTCTCGACAGTCTGCTGCCTTCTCCTGGGGACTTCTTTATATGCTGGGTAAACAGGAGTCCTCCAGGCTTCCCATGAGCACAGAGGATGGACAATGTTCTGGATTTTCATGCTGCAGCCACTCTGGCATGGGCACTTCTCTCAGCCTTTTGTTCCTTCCTCTACAACCCACCACATAAGAGCTGGGTTTTTCTTTCCTGCAATGTAGGTCATTCTTTTTCTAACGTCCCAAGGGCAACCTACTAGCAGATGAGAGGCACATTCCAGGGAACCTACTGTGTCTTGTTACCCATAATAAATAAACTCACTTTTCTCCATTGCTGACTACATCATACCGACTGTGCCATGCTCCAGCATCCTCAGGGCCCCCCCACATGCACACTCTCCCACCTCCTACAGTCCACCAGGGCTGCTGCTGAAGATCCTGCCATCTAGGCTCTTCCTCCTGTAGCAGGCCTGGTACCTTCCTGGCAAGGTCCTGTGCTGACTGATGTATGTATAGGCCTGGGCAGAGTGGGGAGATGGACACATTGGGGACCCATGGTTCCTCCACAGGCAGAGACCACTGCCCAGGAAGTGAAGTCCATGCCCTGGCAGCCCAGCCCTGCAGAAAACCCTCTTGCTGTCACAGTGTCTGGGTCTTTCCCCACCCCAACACCCTCAAGTGTTTTTTCTTTATCCCCATAGACACTCACTCTCTCTGGTACAACTTCACCATCATCCATCTGCCCAGACCTGGACAATGGTGGTGCGAGGTCCAAGGCCAGGTGGATCAGAAGAATTTCTTCTCCTATGACTGTGGCAGTCACAAGGTCTTATCTGTGGGTCGCCTAGAAGAGCAGCTGAATGCCACAGATGCCTGGGAAAGACAACTGGAAATGCTGAGAGAGGCGGGGCAGAGGCTCAGACTGGAACTGCCTGGCATTGAGCTGGAGGATTTCACCCCCAGTCGTGAGTGGAGGAGACCGAGGATGGAAGGGAGCAGACTGTGGGCTCAGGGGCTGCACTGTGTGTGGGGAGAAGACATTAGACATGGGGCCTCCATGAAGCCCAGCAGCAAGGACAGGGCTTGGAGGAGACAAGAGAGCCAGATGAGAAGGGGCTCAGAGGAGGAGGATGTGGGGCAGGGAAGAGAATTTGTAAAGACCAGAGCTGATCTCTTTCTGATTGGAGCAGGACCCGCCAGGCTGCAGGCCAGGATGTCTTGTGAGTGTGAAGCCGATGGACACAGCAAAGCATCCTGGGAGTTCAGATGTGATGGAGAGAAGTTCCTCCTCTTTGACTCAAACAGCAGAAAGTGGACAGTGGTTCATGCTGGAGCCAGGCGGATGAAAGAGAAGTGGGAGGAAGACAGGGTACTGACCAATCTCTTCCGGAGGGTCTCCATAGGAGACTGCAGGATCTGGCTTCGGGAATTCCTGATGCACAGGGAGAAGAGGCTGGAGCCCACAGGTGACTACAGGGGAGCACTGGGAGCGCCTGGAGATGCCGTCAAGTTACAGCCTTGTCTGTCAGTGTCTGTGGTGCGTGCAGGTGTATGGGTGTGAGTGGGTGTCAGTGTTTGTGGGTGTGTGTGTGTGTGTGTGAGTGTGTGAGTTTGAGTAAAAACATGACCCCTCATGGGGGACCACCTTTTGGGGGCGCCTGTGCTCTCCCATCCTCCTCTCCCTTCTCCCTCCTGACTCCTCTTCCTCACTGCACGTGCTTCTGCTGCCCTCACTGTGGATTTCTTGCCAGCCTCAAAACTATGGGCATATTGTGTTTCTAGACGTTTCTCCTTAGATTTCCCTCCTCGTAGGATTGCTTTTCCTTTCCTCTCCCTTGGTGTGTTTCTGGAAATCCAAGAAAACCACCTCCAATGCCAGCCCGGAGATCCTCCCTTCCCCGCCCTGGGGCTTCAGCTCTTCTTCCACCACAGCAAAAGGGTGGGCTGTTCTGTCACCTTGCTGCCCTCAGCAACTGTGTGAGTTTTCTGAGGACAGGGGACACCCCCTCTTTGTTCCTGCCCCAGGACCTGTCACAGCTGCTGCACCATAGCAGAGGGGGACAAAACCTCTGCCTTGCAGGATGATCTGGGGTGGCAGGAGCTAAGGAGCTGTCCTCATAAGAATTGGGGCGGACAAGGGTTGTCACTCTTGTGTTTCCATTTCAGCATCACCCACCGTGACCCCAGGTACAGCCCAACCCAAATCCATGGCCACCAGCCTCAGTCCCTGGAGCCTCCTTCTCATCCTTGTCTGTGTCATCCTATAGGTCATCTGAGGAGAGTTTTTAGAGTGACAGGTACTGTGGGCAGAATTGGGAGGGGAGCAAGAAGCAGACGGGTGAGGAGGGAGGATGGGAAAGGAGAATTCCCAGAGTTCCCCGCCTCCCCATGGCCGGGACCTTTCCATCCTGGCATGAGACAGGTGAATGAGACCTTGTGTCACTTGTTGGCAATGACTTGGGCAGCTCAGCCCTGAGTTCTGATGGATTCTCACCTTCAGAGGCTGGAGGGAAAGGAAGGGGCCCATACTGAGGCTCAGGGTCTGTTGAGCCAATTCAGGCCTGTTTCAGAGCAGGTTCCTATTTGGGAAGGGTAGTGGTGTGTGGCCCGCAATGCAGCAGGAACTCAGACATGGGCCATCCGCACAGTAGGAGAGGAGCAGCACGGCTGCTTCATCTAGGATGTCAGGGGAAAGGGCATCCCTGAAGGAGGCTAAGAAGAGTGATCTCGGGGAATCCCAGGACGAGGGGCTGTGAGGGCCTGGGTTCACCCCATTCCAAAGGCTGTGTTCCCAGAGAAAGCAGCTCTGGTCCCAGCAGTTAAGGTGGAAGGTGAAGAGTAGAGGGTGTCCAGGATGAGGTTTAGGAAAAGGCCAAGCCCCTAGAACCCATGGGATTGCCAGCAGGGCTCTGCGGCAGCGCCCCTGCCCTCCCGCCTCCTGCACGCTCCAGATCCTGAGCCAGCTGAAGGCCCTGCATGGAGCAAAGTGGACACAGACATGGAGCTGAGCTGCTGCTGGAGTTCCATGGTCACCACTGAGCTTGGCAAGGAATGAATGGGGCGGGGCGGGGATAGTTCCATTCAGAGCTATGGGTGCAGCTCCCAGGGTGAGGAGAGGCTGAGAGTGAAGGGGAAAGAACAGGTTTGCCGGCAAGTCTACCCAAGGCCAGGGAAGGTGGATCCAGAGACCGCTCTTTGGACAGGGGTTCCCCAGGTCCTCTAGACCCTTCTGTGAGACAGAGGAGCAGGCCCTGAGTGACGGTGCAGACCCCACTTTCCCAGCCTCAGTTCTGAGCCCCATGGGCTGTAGCAGGGCCTGGGCTGTCTCTGTGATGTGGTGCAGGAGGGAGGAGGTTGGGAGGCTGCAGAGCCAGGGGGAGGGTTGGAGGGGAAACATGGTCCTATCTGGGGAAGAGGTTCCAAAATGGGGAGGGCCTGGGAGGGATCACCCAGGAGAACAGACCCAGGTTTTTCTCAGCCACTTAAACCAATGCTTCATGTTTCTGAAGGTGGAAGATGACACCAAGCAGCCCCTGTTAGCCTGGTCTGCCTCCCGCTCTCCTTCAGGAAGGCCGCCTGTCTACTCACCACTGTGCCTTTCTGGACAGCCAGGAGGTCAAGCCTTAGCAAGCCCACAGCCCGCAGCAGACGACGAGGGCATTGGAGACCCAACCTCTCATGGCGTTCATTACCTTCAGTGATGGTCCTAGTAGCCATTTTTCTTCACATCTTCTGCCACTTTCTCTTGGTGCTAATGGTTGGAATTCCTGCACAAGTTAGAACTGGACAAGAAATCCCAGCAAAAAGCATTTTCTTTCTACTTCGGTGATTGTGGGAAAGCAAACACTTCTCTACAGCATGACCTCATTCTTCCAAATGGTATTGCTAGTAAAATCGCATGCTGGGCTTCAGACCTCAGGGATCCTTTCCATGCACTGACCTAGAATCGTATTAATCCTTTTTATTTTTATGGTGTTTTACATTTTCTCATTCTGTAAAACTTATTGGAGGGAAGTAGCATAATCATCACTCACTGTAATCTCACCTGACAAAGGTCTAATATCCAGAATCTAATATCTACAGAATCTTGTTGAATATCCAGAACTCAACAAGCAAGAACAAAAAGCCAATTAGCAAATGGGTAAAGAGATGAGCACTTTTAAAAGAAGACATGCAAGTGGCCAAATCATCAGATAGGTGCCAATCAAAACCACAGTGAGTTGCCACCTCTTACCTGTCACAAAGTCAGAGATGGTGGTGAGGCTGCAGAGAAAGGAAACAGACACTGTGGATGGGAAAGCGAACCTGTTCATCTGCTGTAGAAAGCAGCTTGGAGATTTCTGCAAGAACTTAAAATAGAACTACCATTCAACCCAGCAATTCCACTACTGGGGATATACCCAAAGGAAAAGAATTTATTTTGTCAAAAAGACACCTGCACCCATATGTTCAATGCAGTGCTATTCCCACTAGCAAGGACACAGTCAATCTAAGTGCCCCGCAACAATGAACTGAATGAAAACAATGTGGCACATAGACACCATGAAAATCTATGCAGCCATGAAACAGCAAAATCATGTCCTCTTCATCAACACGGATGGAGCTAGAGGCTGTTATTCTAAGCAACCTAATGCAAGGACAGAGAGCCAAATACTGCAGTTTCCCATTTGAAAGTGGCAGCTAAACATTGAACTCACATGAACCCGATGCTGGAGATCACTAGATGGGGGAGAGAGGAGGCGCACCTGGGCTGAAAACCACCTGTTGGGGACCCTGCTTACTGTTTGGGTGATGGGATCATTGGGACACCAAGCCTCGGCCTCCCAAAATCTACCCGTGTAACAGCCCTGTATGTGTACCCTTTAATCTATAATATAGGTTGAAATTAAAGATTAATAAATAAAACAAAATGACATAAGGCCAAAATAATGGGGTTAACTGAGTGAGAGAACGCTGCACTATGAACACTAACCCAGCTCAAAAAAATAAACTCCAATCGTTTAAAATAATCTCCAGTTGTATGATGATAATTGTATAAAAGTTATACATGTAAGTGCCAAACCCTAAAATCAAACATTTGCATAATGAAATTACACTTGAATTCCATCTTGTTCTTTATAGCCTTACTTTTTTTTCCATTTTCAAGTGATATATTTTGTGTATCCACAGGGAATCCTTGCTGTCAGCCTTCTCCTTCCGCACCACCCCCTCGTTTCCACTGTCCAGCTCAGCCCTTCCTCGGGCCTGGGACTGTGGCTTTCTTGGCACTGAAGGCACAAGAGCTGCATTCAGCCTTGGGAGAGAGGAGGGCACAGGGCAGGTGGTGGGGGTGGTCTCGGCATTGCAGAGAAACCTCACAGCTCAGGCCCTCTATTGCAGATGGCTGTGTTTCTCCACCAGCTTAGCCACAACCAAGCCGACCTCGCCCCTTTCCTGATTGGCTTTTTTCTCACTCTTCCTAACTCCTGAAAATTTATGTTCTTCCACCTAACATTCCTTTCTACTTCTTGTCTTCACAATACATTCAGATTTATTGTGCCCAGAAAATACTGGTCTCACCATGTCCTAAGTTACCATCTAATTCATAGTGACAAGAAAGAGGCCCCGCCCCAATCGCTGCCTCTCATTTATTCACTCGCAGGGTTCCTACAGCTCAGCACCAACAATGGGCTGTGCTGTGCATGCTCCTCTGAGGAAAACAGAATCCCTGCTCCAGTGTGGACAGCAGGTGAACACAACCAGCAGGTGCATTGCATGGGATGTAGGAAGGTGACAGATGATTCAGGGCACAGGGAACAAGGTTGTGGGGAGGAAGAACAGGAGGGGAGCCCCCAGGTCCTCAGTAGCCCAAATCTGAAGGTCTATGGAGAAGGTGATATGTGAGTCCTGGCTTCAAGGAGGTGAGCATTCCCACAGGAGGCAGAGGCCTTGAGTGGTCCAGGGAAAATCCAGAAGGTGTCTCCGTAACATTTTTAAGGCAACCCTAAAACAAAAGAAGGGCTGGGCCTGGGGGCTCACACCTGTAATCCCAGGACTTTGGGAGGCTGAGGTGGAAGGACTAGGAGGTAAGGAGATCGAGATCATCCTGACCAACATGATGAAACCCCATCCCTACTAAAATTACAAAAATCAGCGAGGCTTCATGGCATGTGTATGTAGTCCCAGCTACTCAAGAGGCTGAAGCAGGAGAATCCCCTGAACCTGGGAGGTAGGCGTTGCAGTGAGCCAAGATGGCGCCGCTGCACTCCAGCCTGGGGACAGAGCAAGACTCCATCTCAAAAAAAAAAAAAAGAAAGAAAGAAAGAAATACCCAAGAATATATTTATTAAATAATTATTACCAAACAATAAATATTTATGACCTAGCAATTTAATCACCATTTAAGAAAACATTTCACGAAAATTGAAAATGTAGTATGTTTATTTCATTCTTTGTGTTTGTTTGTTTCTGAGCTGGAAGGGCTGGGTGTCATTTATCAACAGCAGTTTCTCCACATTTGTTTCCTTCCCGTGGTAGTTTCCTTCCCAGTGCAGGCACAGAGCCCTGGAGAAGGGCAGTCTCTAAACCGGGGAGCTAGGAACGCAGGTCAGACACATCTTTGGAGGCAGGTTCAGCCCCAGCCAGATGCAATTCTTCAACTTGGAATTACTTTGGGTATTAGAGAGGGACCCAGGTGGGAGTAGACAGAGAAACTTCAAGGGGGCTCACATCTCAGTCCAGGCCTCCTCACTATCCAAGTCCATCCAAGGTTTAGGACTCTGGGGGGCAACAATCAGGCCTACCCACCTCAACAGGGACAGATTCTTTAATCCATGCCCAGTTCACACACACCTGCTGGTCACACAGCTAAAGAGAATCAGCCTTATGGAAAGAGACAGACTGTGTCCTCTCTGCCCCTCCCCGGCACCTCTCTTCAGCAGCATCTGCGCAGGAACCTCTGGGAAGATGGAGGCCTGCCTTCTCAGTTCAGACACATGTGCCTCATCCGCAAATCTTCCATCAGCGACAGGATGGAGGCCACACGTGGACCCAGGAGGACACCTATACTCCCCAGTCCATCAGACACTGCCCTGCCTGCAGGCTGCCAACCGCTGGTGCCAGACCAGAGCTTCAGCAGGCCCCAAACTGGGGCCTAAAGCCTGTTTGCACAGGCACTTGGCAATTTTTGGTAGGAAGGTGGATAAAAAAGTAGATGGATGTGAGAAGAACAAAAGAGTCATTTGATAGACTAAAGATATGAAGAGATTTTACCTTTATCTCCTTCACTATAAGCCAAAGATGAAATCTCACTGTGATTTCTGGGGAGGGGGCAGAAGGAAGGCCGTGTTAAGAATCATCAGATCTGTGGCCCAGTTGGCCCATGGAGGTGCAGGCAGGGTGGGCCCTCACTGGGGCAGCTGGAGGAGCACGAATGTCCCCTCTGGCAGGTAGGTGATGTTCTGAGAGAGAGCGTCAGAGCTGGTGTGCAATGTCCTCCGCAGCTTCCAGCTTGTGCAGCTCCATCAGGCCGTCCCATGTGGTGGCCAGTAAGTTGACAATCAGCTCAGCTGCCTTGGAGTCACCCTCAGCAGAGATGACAGCCGCCTTTTTCTGCTCAGCCTTTTCCACCACAAACCTGGCCCTCTCTGATTCCTGCTGAGCCACCTGTTTGGCTTCCACCGCTTCTGTGAACTCCTTCCCAAAGGTGAGATCTGTCAAGGACACGTCAGCCAGGATGAGCCCAAAGGTGGCTGCTCGCTCTGTGAGGTCATCACTCACCTGGCTGGGGAACAGCTCTCTCTGGGGGATTAGTTCTTTAGCATCAATGCCAGCCACCACTGATGTAGGATCTCAGTCATGATGGACGGCAGCACACCCTCATCATAGCCCTCTCCCATGCTGGTGGAGATGCCGGGAAGCTGGTTAAGGGAGGGGAAAGAAGCTGGCTAGTGTCGGGCTGGAAAAGGACACGCAGTGTGATGGTGACATTCTGTAAATCTTTGCTACCAGTGATGACTGGCACATGAGGTGGTTAGAACGGCAGTCAAAGATCATTGGTTTCTGTCCCATGGGATGAGAAAGTGAGTCCCTTCCCCTCCACAATGTCCATGGAATCAATCAAAGATGGCAGCTCTGTGCCCAGCATCCACATTATATAAGGCAGAGTTCACCACACCTCCCGCCACAGCTAAGGCCAGGCCAAACTTGCCGACGGACTCACACACTTTGGCAGCCATGTTTTCTTCTGCTGGACTCTCTCACACCTGCTTTTATTCCGACTTGCACATCAGTTCCCCCTATTTTATTCTCAAATAAACACAAGTGTGTACTAGTGGACACAGGCACCTGTTGGGCACTGAGCAACTTCTCAGACCTTGGAAATAGGTTGGGCACAGCTGCCCTCATTTCCTCTTTCATACCGATTTTGGCAGGGGATCATGGTTTTTTTTTTTATCACAGCAACTGTTGAAATCACAGATTGTAAAAGTACCATGTCATCTAAAGCAATGACGCATAGTCTAATGTTGAAACTGTCAAATACCTTGGACTAGCACTTCCTAGTGCTGTCCAGCGATGGCACTGCTTATCTTTTAAATATTTCCAGAAGCCCAGAGGGTTTGTTCAGTGCCCTGAGCTCCTTGGCACACAGCTTGTGACATCATGGTGAATGTGGGAGGGATCCATAAAGGGTTTATTTCTGGGGGTGGGGGCAGTTCCTCCCACCCTGCAGATCGAGATGCCCTGAGGGCAAAGAACAGAGGGGTGCACTCTGGTGGCCCCGCAGTTCTGCCCCAAGGGAGAGGTTTCTCTTCTGCTGCAGCAGAAACTAACAGGACACTGCTTCATCCCAGAACCCAGGGGACCAGAAGGGGTCTGAGTGTTTCAGACCACACAGTGACATCCTGCTTGAAGTCCTTCAGAAGTCCTTCAGGAGCTGAGAGAGAGCCCCTGAGATGACAGGTGAGTGGGCAGAATGGGACAGACACAGCAACTCGAGATGAAATTCGCAGTTTCTTTCGTGTTTTTATATATGTCTGTGTGTGCACATGCATGTGCATGTCTGTGTCTGAATCTCTGCCTGCAATTGTGTATGTGTGTGGGTTTGTGTGAGTGTGTGTGTGACACTGTGCGTGTGTGCCTCTGTGTGTGTGTGTGTGTGTGTGTGTGTGTGTGTGTGTGTGTGATAACATCCATGTATAAATGGTGAATAGATTTCCTGGCTGATTTGCTGTGCAGAGAGATAGGGCCTCCACGGGAGTTCCCGTCCACCCCTCGTTCCCTGTCTTCCCTCCTGACATTCTCTCCTCCCTGTGGAAAGAGTCCACCCCAGTAACTGAGGCTTCATTCCTGCAGACTTCTCACAGCTCCCCAAAGTTCTGTGATAATTGCACCCCCAGGCCTCCTCCTCATGCTTGTCCCTCTGCCGGGTACCCTGTCTTCTCCTCCCACCTGGCCACGCTGTATTCTTTGTGGGTAACCCCCGATATAGGTAAGGAGAGCTAAGCAGAATCCTGGCACAATTAAGACCTGGAGAATATCTCAGTTTATAGTGTTACTACTCAGTTATTTCCTTTTATACAATCCTCTATAGATAATCATATATTAGTTCATAGAATGAGTGCCTGAAGAATATCTTACCACTCAGTTATTTCCATATATATAATCAGAAGAATGCCTAGAGTAGATACAGTACAGAATACTAATTAAGGAATAAGCAGCTTATAATCGGAGAAATGCATAGAGCAGACACAGTGCAGAGCATGACTTAAGGGAAAAACAGTTATACCAGGACAAGAATCCATGGCCCAGGCGGCAGCATTCAGTATTGTAAAGACACCGGCTGGATGGCAGGCTTGGGGCAACAGCCACTCCTCCTGATAAAAGAGTTGTAGGACCTTGCTCCAACCCCGACAGCTCTGTCACTACTGTGTGACTTAAAACATCCCTCCATAAATCTTCTTAGAAGTCATTTGCCCATAGATAGAAGTATCGCACACTGCACCCTCTTCACTGCGCACAACCCACCTTCAAGCCTCGGTGACCTAATCGGGGTGGACCCCTTACTGCACACGGCCCTTGCCTTGATGAGAATGGACCCCTTGCTGTGCACTGT